GAAAGGATCCTTGCCTACTTAAAGAGATGTCCAGGGAGAGGTATACTCTTCAAGAATAATGGTCATATGAAAATAGAAGTGTATACAGATGCGGACTAAGCTAGATGTGTTGATGATAGGAGGTCCACCTCTGGATATTGTGCATTTGTGGGGGGAAATCTTGTTTCCTGGAGAAGCATGAAACAAAATGTTATTGCTCTCTCCAATGCAGAAGCGAAATACAGATCCATGGCCAATGGTGTTGTAGAAGTGTTATGGCTGAGATCCTTGCTTTATGAGTTAGAGGTTGATTATGAGAAGCCTCTGATTCTGTATTGTGATAATCAAGCTGCAATGAATATTGCCCACAACCCAATATAGCATGATAGGACTAAGCATATCGAGGTTAACAGACATTTTATCCGAGAGCGAGTCGCATCTCAAGAAGTATGCCTTCCTTACATTGCCTTAGACATGCAGTTAGCTGATCTCTTCACCAAAGCAGTCACAAAAGGCAAATAGAAGTATGCCTTCCTATTCCTCTAAGGATCCTAAAAGCTATAAGTAAAGGAGTGTATGGGGCAGCAGATCATTCACCACTGAACCCCTTCTTTCTTTTCTCCTCTCTTCTCTCTCTCTCTCTCTCTCTCTCTCTCTCTCTCTCTCTCTTTTCTTCTCTTCAAGCCTGTAATACAGTAAACAGTTCTTCTTTCAAGTATTATTTTTCTCTAGTGGCCATAGATATTTGATGATCTGAGTCCATGGGTAAGGTCAGGAGGGGTAATATCTCAGCTCATCCATCATATCATAAGCTGAGAGTTGTCCTTGATTGTTGTTCTCTGATGACCATAGATAATGATGATCAGAATCCTTGGGCAAGGCCATAGGATAATCATCAGCTCTCACTGATCAGACATGCTGATTGGGCCAGCATATGCTAGAACTATTATGATTCCGTCATTGTCTTTCAAGCCTCCGTCCATGCTGGATTCTTCAGGATTTCCTAGTATGGAATATTCAAAATTTAGCTTGATGGAGTTCTAACTATGATTTGACCACAACGAAATTGCTTCAGCTTGATTTGTAACTCACTTCCTCAATGATTGACTTTACCATGACTGAGAAGATCTCCAATATATGTGCCCATACCACTGTGATAGTAACAAACTCAGTTGTTGCCTGATATTATCTTGCTTTGGATTGTTCCAGCATTCTTCTTTCTGCATATTCTTCACAGAGTTGCATGAATTTACATCTCCACTTGACTTTGCACCTGACACCAAGTAAAATTGAGATTGGGGTGGGTTTTAAACTCAGGTTTCATTACATCTGAGCCATACCTTTAAATCTAGCTAGATCAGGGGTTAATAAGGTGGTGGTATACAGCTGGAACTAAACTGTTATAAACGTTTTCTATATGCTGTAATCTTTGTACAATTTTGGATAGACTCACGTTGTTTTATTTAGATGTCCACTCCATATGACACACCCTTTTCTCTGAATGCATTTCATTTTTGCTTCTTTATCAATTAATCTTAATTTTTACCACAGAAAAATAGATAAGTAAGTAGGAAAAAAATCCTAGAAAAGCTGTCTAGTGAAGCTCTATGCTAATATGCCACTTTTTGTGCCATTTCAGAAAATTGACAATTTAACTACTGCATAAAAATTAATGATACGATATGTAATGGGAAATACTTATAATAAAAAAATCATCTTTCTAATGTCAGGGCAAGTTGAAGATACAGTAGAAAATGGCCTCACAAAGCCTTTGCTTTTACGTTCAGAAGAGAAGGAACAAGATGAAGATGATGACCAAGAATGCGATGGTAGTGAAGAAGCTTCTGAGGAATCACACAGACCTGCTGCTTCAATTAAATCTGCATATCGCTTGCTTACACCATCTGTTAAGGTGTGAAGTTCATTCCATTTTTTCAATGTACTTGAAATGTTCTATGTTTCATTACATGATGCAATGGTAAAATAACTTGGGAGAAAATGGGTTTAAGTCTGAGAATGGCCTCTTTGCGGAAGAAAATCTGAAGGTTACATTTATAATTCTGTATCCAGTCCACCCTTCCCAAGACCAGATAGTTGGGACCAACATTTGTTAATGGCCCTAATTTTCATGTTTGAGTATGTGCTAAGTATATTTTTATTATCCTAAACTTGGCAATATAAATCTGTACTTGTATAAAGGCAGAATATTAGCAATCCACTTTTTTTTCAACTTTCTTATTTACCTATTCTTTCTAGATGAAATCCATGAACCGTTGTCCCACATCAGCATTAGGGTTAACCATTCTTAGTCTGGCCTGGATATGTGTGTATGTGTGTGTGTGTTATATTACAATGGATATAGTTAGAAATGACTTCAAGTGTCCATAATTTAACAATGGATATAGCATTAAAGAGAATGGAATGGCGAAACAGGATTCATGTAGCTGACCCCATATAGTTGGGATAAGGCTTGGATGATGATTATGATAATATTAACATGTATATTGTTGCATAATATTTATTATAACATATGATTATGTAGGCCTAGAAAGCTGGAAAGCCTGGCCCTTGCCCAGCCTAGCCCATGATGGCTTGGAGCGGGTTGGGAGGTTGGACCTGTATTGGGGCTAATCTATTCCAAGTTTATTCTTTGTGTGGAAGATCCTTTTTCTGTGTTTTTTCTGGTCTTTCTTGTTGTTTTCTGGTTGTTTGTTTTGGGTTCAGGGGCCTTTTCCTATAGAACACCTTTTGTTGTGTTTTTACCGCTCATTTCTTATAAATGTTATTATTGTTGAACAAAAAATAATTTGACTATCTTTTTTTTTTCCCATCAGGTCCAGCTATTGATATATTTCATGCTCAAATATGCAATGGAGATTTTACTTTCTGAATCTAGTGTCATTACATCATACTACTTTAGTTGGTCAACTAGCTCAGTGGCAATTTTTCTTGCATGCCTTGGTCTAACAGTTCTTCCAGTAAATATTGTTGTTGGCAACTATATCAGCAACATGTTTGAAGACAGGTAAAATTTTAGATGGGGCATTGTTTTGATATAGTACTTGCATTGGTTTTTAGGTATGATGAATAGAGAAGATATTAATATATCATTTCTAAGCATTACTATGCCTTTATTGCCTTACGTTTTTTATAACAAATAAAGAAAATTGTATTAATGAAAAACAGCAAAACATGAGATGTGAAAGCTGTGGCTCAAGTAAAAAACAGCCATTAGCAATACATAGAAATATATACCAGCTCCCAGATCTCCAACAAGCTCACAAACAAAATACCTGGGTCTGCCTACACAGCAGATATCAAGGAGCCACCTTGTGAAGCAAAAACAGACAAACTAGGTCCACAAAGGGGGCATTTGAGAGCACTGAACGAACCTCTGACCAGTGAAAAAGTCTGTTCAGCTGTTGGGGATCATTCAGTGTTGCCATGGAATCCTCATCTGAATGCTGGTATATCAGCTCTAAAATTCTGAGATCACTCCACCTCCAAATGCAGTCAAATGTAATTTTAGAATTTCCCGGACCAAAGATACCCTCAATAAAATGGTATTATTCTTTTATTTTCCCCACATTAAAATCCCCAAACCCACTGAAGAAACATATTACCTCTCCTGTTTTCTTTTCTCACCTGTGGCAATTATTCTCCAATCGAGTGGAAGGACTTTCTCCAGCTTTCTTCTCAGGAGCAATCTTGTGTATGTTTTGATACCATTGAACAAACACAACTCTTCTATATCTACTCCGTTAACAAGAAAAGGAAATAGGTGCATCTCCTTTCTCTCCTCTATTGATGCTTGCTTTTATGTTTGTGTTCTGAACTAAAATTCCATTTCAATCTCCCTATTTTTAGTTGGTTCTGTTATGTTCTTTGATGTACATTGATGAGACTCAAGGAAGAATCTGTAATTGAATATATAGCCCTAACTTTTGATTCTGCCATTTTATTTGATATTCATTGAGATCAATGCATGTCTCTAAAGCGATGAGGCTAACTGTGCAATAAGAGGAATTCTTTCTAATCATTCAAATGTGAAGGATGGGCTCCCAAGGTCCATGAATTAATTGTTCAGTTTTTAATTGGCATAAGAAGTCTAGAAATAAGAATAATGTTTTAAAATTTTTTCTTTTTCATCAGTGTTTATAATTACTTCTAGAAGAATAGCACCTCTTTATTATTTATTAGGATTGAGTATAATTTGCCACAAGGTCATTTAATAATGTCAGACAATAGATCATTTACAAAAAAAAGCTCCCTGTTTTTTGTTGATTCTATGATTTTCTTTGTTATTTCTACTTTGTTTTTATTTTTCCATCCATGTTCTTATTCCTTTTAATCAAGGCTCTAAGTATCGATACCCCAATACACATGAAGTCATGAACATGTGCATCGAATGTTTTGAACCCACATAATTTTATTTTTTTCAAAAACGGTCAGGGTGTCAGTCTTATGCCTGCCTACTCCCTGAAAATGGTCAAATCCCCAAAAGCCCAGTATAAGGTGTATTGGGGGCTTGCTGATATGATGCGATATGCTTGGCACAGGGTTATTGTATTGAAATTTTGATCCTTGCTTTTAATATGACCATTCATTTTAAATTTCTTATTGCTATTTTATGCTGTTTCTTTTGCGTGTGTGTGTGTGTGTGTGTGTGTTTATATCACCACGACCATTGAGTAAAAATGGAACATGCCAGGTGAAAGTGAAGAGTGGTTGTGCTTTCACGGTTTCGTTTCTTTCTTTTTATTGGCAACCTTTGGAGTATCCTTGCAAAACAAACTGATGCAATAAACAATTGAAAAATATTCTGTAATTGTAATTTGCCTTTTATGAAAAATGGGAAGGGAATTTATTTTCCAGTTGTTTTACTCATGCATGGTGCTGAGGTGATCATTGTGAAGGACTAAAATAGACCTGGAATAAGAAGCCTCCAATATAATAGTATTAAAGAATTATATAAAACAAAATTAAAAGGATTTGAGGTAATAAATGCTCAAAAAGATATAAAAGTTAGGCTGTAAAAGTACTAATGAAGATATGTTTATTTTGTTTGGTTATTGCAGTCAATGAGACCTGTGAATTCTTCTCCTATGGTTGAAATTCAAGTTATGATATATGTAATTCATGCATGGCATGCTTCAGGTCTGGGGGTGGTTTCTGCTGTAATCAGTTGATCATTTTTTCTTTGTATTACTAATTGCAGGCAAATTTTGCTGGCATCTGAAATTATAGTGTGCATAGGAATACTGCTAAGCTTCCATATAATAATTCCATATTCTGTGCCCCAATATGTCTGCTCGGCACTCATCACATTTGTAGCTGCTGAAGTTCTTGAAGGTAAATATATAATCATTTATTTATTTATTATTATTACTATTATTATTATTTATTTATTTTTACTGTTACTGTTATTGTCATTGTTGCTGTTATTATTATTAGGGTTAATTACTTAAAGTGCCCCTGCACTTTTGGATATTCAATTTTCACTAACGTGAGGCTGTTAAGATGGATGGAACGGATGGGAAGACTCTTTGGCCTTTATTTATTCTTCAAATTTTAAAATATGCCATGGCAGCCAAAATCGACAGGACCAAAGCTCACTGCTACTTGTCCTTCTTTTGTGTTGCGTTGTATGGCTTTACCTTCCCTCTTCTAATCTTCCTCTTGCCTCCCGATCCGCAATTTCTTCCACCGTTCCACCCAACATTGAAACATTCAATTCTACATTGTATTGAGGTCACTTGTACTACTCCGGAATTCTTTTTTTCTTCTTTTTTTTTGGATGTTTATTTTATTTTCTGTTTTTTTTTTGTTACTATAAATTATAATTTGATTAAATGAGAATCAATGGTTCAGCCAAGAAGATTGCGATGACAGGATGCATATTTGTAGTTGAGTGTTATAGATGTATGAACTAGGGAGATGCCTTGCGTTTTTCTTTGAGAAAATTTGGAATTGGTTTTTGTCTCTCTTTGGTTGCAGGTCAAATCCTCCTTCAGATGTGGTAGGCCTTTTTAGCCCAAGTTTTTTTTTTTTTTTTTGACTATTGAAGAAAAGAGGAAGAGTAATGTGGAGAGCTACAAGAGCAACTATCATCTGGTCAATCTGGGAAGAAAGGAATAATAGAATTTTTCAAGGGATTGAAAGATCTAAGGGGCAAGTCATTGACTGCATAACTATTAAGGTCATTTATTGGTTGAAATCGATTGAATTATTCAAAGACTATTCAATTGAGGACATTTTTAGAGGGTAGTCAGAGGTAGCAAGTTCTTCAACTATAAAGAATGTAGTTCAGGTTCAATGGATCCCTGCAGCACAAAGTAAGGGCGAAGTTGAATTTTGATGGGAGCTCATTGGGTAAACCGGGACCCTCTAGAGTTAGGGGAGCATTCAGAGATGGGGAGGGTAGACTGGTTGCACTATATTCTGGTCCAATGGGCGTGGGTGACTCACTACGAGCTGAGGTTATGCCCTTGCTTCAAGGCTTGAGGTTGGATAAGCAGTGGGGATTCCACAATTTTGAGGTGGAAGGAGACTCCAAGTTACCAGTAGGATGGCTGCAGATGAAAAGTTTGGGGGTTTGGGCTTATAGACAGAAAATGAGGGAAATTTCTTGCCTGACAGAAAAAGTTTGGGGCACTCTTTACATGGACCAGGTTAGCCAATGGTTTATCTGATACCTTGGCAAAGCAGGAAGCCCAACACTCCAAGTTACTAATCTGTTTTGGGCTGTGTTGTAATCTTTGAGATAAACTCTGGGATCAAGACTCTTGCTGTGGGTGGTTGACATTTGTACTCCTTAATCTAACTTATTAATACTGTTTCAAATAAATAAAATTAAAAAGCTAAAGAATAGAAGAAAAAAATACAGAAAATAGTATTATTGCAAGATAGTGGGAGATTTAATGTTTATTTTGCACAAAACTAGAAAACAGAGTGAAGAAAAGAACAGTGTGTGTAGAAACCATTTGATGCTGTATAGCTATAAGAGAACAAAGTTGCTACATTTGGTATCTAGATAGTGGGAGCTTTAATGTTTATTTTGCACAAAACTAGAAAACAGAGTGAAGAAAAGAACAGTGTGTGTAGAGTGTTGGCACTTATGATCCTAAACTGTGGAATGGAGTCTCACCAACTCAAATGAAGGGGTAATGGAGTTTCAGTGCTAAAATAGGAGTGCTCCCACTTTTTTTCTGGAAAGCGGGTTACTTTAGGAAAGAATCTTGTTTACAAACAGGCGACCCAATGAAATAAAATTTCAAAAGGTATAAAGTATATAGAGGATATAGGATGTTGGCTGCTATCTGTTAGTAAGTCTCTATTGAGATAGGTCATCCAAGGTTGACCTCATCTGGACAGAGAACCCTTGGACTTAGAGGTTTGTAGGCAAGATGGAGTTCTCTTCTGTTTATACTCAGTAGCAAGTTGAGGTCCAATGTTGGTAATAAAAAATCAAAAAATTAGAGGGCTATGGTTAAATTGAACAAAACTCTAACCCCAAGTGAATAGGGCTGACCTAGACTGCAAGATTCAACAGACAATCTAAAAATGTCTTGTCTGATGAACAGTATAAATTGGTCACAAAATTTCTCCATGTGGTTGAAATAGAGTTGGTCGTGTAGGGAATCTCTGTATTTAACTCGGCTAGGAGATTTACTAGTCACATGGATGGATCTTGTGCCCAATCCAGACCATTCATCAGGTGGGGATTCCTTTGGATTGGTAATGTTTTGAATTCTGCAATCCAAGTCAACCTTATTCTGAATTCTGATTCAAGTTTTTCTATAAATAATCTCTCTGATGGTTCTATGTTTTAATTTAAAAGTTGTCCATTGTAGAGAACATTGATGTGGGCCCCACAGCTGTGGTCCCACTCTGTCCGTAGGGTAGAATGTATCTAGTCACAGCTGTGGTCAATTTGATATTCTGTTATTCCTAGTTGCTATTTACTTTTCAGTTTTATATTGTTTGTTATGTGTTAGCAGTTATGATGTAAACACCAAGGGCAGATATGTCCTTCCATGTAACTAGCATAACATATATATATATATTAAATTAAAGTGGCAGCAGCAGAATATTGACATTCTGTTCTCCTCAAAATCTGTGCTCTACTGCTCTCTCACCACTCTTTCTTCTACTTCTTCACTTTCTCTTCTCATCGAACCTGAAATTTCTTAGTGGTCAAGACTGATAGCAGTCTTGAACACCTACATCCATAAAAGAGAGCTTATCTAGAACACCTGTCTAGGTCTTTTGGGCCAAATTCTTTTCCATGAATCTACTAAATGACCCAGCTAGCAAACCTGCTCCTATAGATGTAATGATATAACGCTGAAACAATGTTGTTCCTTGACAGTAGGAATTCCCCATTCCTTTGGCCAGGCTATGATGGCAGAAACATAATAGAAACGCTTTTGAATGCAGAAGACCAAGAAAATAAAATAAAGATACAAGAGTTCAAGAGCAAGCATCTAAATAATGCACCTATACCCAAATTATCCATACCCCATCTGAAAATACTCTGATATTGAATGGTGATTACTTGATCTAGGTGTTAACTTATTCTGTGCAATTTGATAATATCTCTACTTTTACTATTTTGGTTTCCTTAATGGCATCGTATTTACATTATCCAGAATTAAAGTCTAAGGTGTTTTATTGATTTTTGTTTTGATTGTATGTTAATATTGATCTTATTTCTGCCATCAGGTTTGATGTTGTCCCGTTTGAGCATGTTTTTAATCTTCCACTCTCATTTGCTTGACTGATGCAGGTGTCAACCTATCTCTGTTATCTCGGGTCATGTCATCCAGGCTCTCTCGTGGGACCTACAATGGTGGACTACTTTCAACAGAAGCAGGGACCTTGGCTCGGGTGGTCGCTGATGGCACTATTACACTGGCTGGGTACTTGGGTGAAAGCAAGCTCTTGAATGTCACCTTACTCCCTTCCCTCTTCATCTGCATAAGCTCCATAATTGCCACCTTCTTCACCTACAACTCTCTCTATTGATAAATTTCCACTGCACAAAACTGCCCTTGATCACCTAGCGTCTCCAGATCTCTATCCGATTTTTTCCCATCAAGGGACCTAGCCTATTTTGTCATTGTCAATGGTGTACACAAAGCTAGTTCATTGGTTGGCTCAGTAACAAGTGTTCTCAATCTTATTTATGGAGGTCCCATTGATTGCAAATTCTGCCATCAATTATGTGCGACTAATATGTCCACCTGTCATACGTTTGGGTATCCATGGAAGAAGATGTTGCGTGCTTTTGAGAGCTTAAGCACATATCACAGAGGAGAGAATTGTGGCTCTCTATTCATCTAGGAATTTATTTTCAGGGTCTTTAGTTTTCTAGGACTTGAAGTTACACTGAACAATTGTTAGCATGTGCTTTTTACTTTTCTTGATGGCGGTGTTGTTTGGACAGTCCAAAAGAAAGGTCGTTATTGGAAGGCCTCGATAAGGAAGCTGATTTGATTTCTGCGCTACAGTCCACCAAAGGACAACTCAATGAATGTAGCCACTTATTGGTGAGCAAAGATTTGTATCATTCACTTCCAAATATCCAATGTATTTGTAGCAGTATAGAGAATAAAAGTATTTTTATGCGTTTGTTATACTTGTTGAGGTGTGTATCTGGCCCTCTTGTATTTCTTTCTCCTATCTTCTTTTTTAATAAATCATTTCTTTTACTATCAAGAAAATGAAATGTTATACTTGTTGAGAGAAGTTTTGTCCATTTGTATCCTTTTAGCTTGAAGTATACAAATTGTTGTAGTTAGTACACGACCAACACCTTATTTTTTGTCTTTTCTTAAATCTCCTCACTTGACGCTCCATTTTGGCATTTCTTGCTAGTGAGCTACATATACAGCATGCCTGAAAACCTTTTTTAGTTCATCATTATTCTTAATTTTCTCTTAATTTGCATTAATTATGAATGAACCATCTTCCAGACATTTAAAGAGGAGATTTTATAGTGGATACTGTTTGTTGATGACAGCATTGATTAACAAGATTTGAGATGGGCTGAATGCAAAGTTAGAACAATTGAGAATGCTTTAAAACAAGGAAGGAAAAAAGTTTCTTTTTTTGATAGTAAAAGAAAAAAGTTTATTAAAATAAAAAGAGGGGAGGGACAGAGATAGGAGAAAGAAATACAAGAGGGCACAGGTACAAACCTCCACCAAACCACAAGAAGTGGTTAGTTTAGAGTATTCCTAGTTGTCAATTTTAATTGAGCTATCATTACTTCTATTTTTACTAAAATCATATGTATTCTATTTTGATATGATTAGAAATTAAAAGCAATTAGAAACTAATGAATTAGAATCAGGTGATGAAAAATGATTAAGAAGGTATTTGGCAAGTCTTTTTCTGTGGTCTTTTGGATTTTTCAAAGTTTGGAAGACCAAATTTTGGTTTTTCTCTATTTGGCAATAAAAGATAGAAAGCCAGAAAGACCTATGTCCTAAAAAGTTCATGGAAGCTTAAAATGGTAAAAAACAAATGAAGCTTCCTGTCCTTCTGGACTTGAAATCTTTCATTTAACAGCTCTGTAGATCATGGCAGACTAGATACTTACCAAAATATCTAGATCTTTAAAGATAAGAAGACCTTGGATAGCAAAAAAGACATTGGATAGCAAGTAGTCTACCCCCAATGAGGAGTGAGAGCTGTTAAAGAGCTTCTTTCTAACTATTCTAGTGTATGCATAGATAATTGACCAGTTAAAGCAAATAGTTGTGATCAAATTTCAAGCTGAATTATGACCAAATATCTATTGGTAGGGCTCATTTAGTGGAGTTCGTCTGCTGACCACAACACATTGCTGGCCACACTCATTCTGTCGTGCTTTAAGAGTATCGGTGAACACACCACAACTGATGTTTCATATATGTGGCTGGATGAGCGTGGCCAATAATGTGCTGTGGTTAGCAGATCCGGATTCCATTTAGTGATGTACCGATCTAATTTAAGGTTCAAAGTATCAATACAGGCTGATATGCCAGTAGGACGTATCGGTCTGTATCGGTGCTTTTTTTATGTTTTATTTTTTTAAAATCAGTTTAGAGGGGTCAGTTTAAGACACGGCTACCTTCTGAACCATGGTCTGACTCGATACAACCCCAATAGGGGTGTATCGGGAAACCATTGGCACGATACGTGCCGATATGTGTCGATACTTTGAACCTTAATCTAATTTTAATATAGCTATGGGGTAAATTCAAGCCTGATCAAAAAAAAGTTTATGGATCCTGTTCCCGCTGAATCCAAACCTTCATAGTTGGCAATTTTTATTGATCGAGTCATTTATTCAAATAATTGGTCGCTAAAAACCCAATTAACAAATCTTGGATTATGAGCCCTTATTAAAACATGTAGGGAGGAGGCTGTACCTTGGTTGCAAGGGTTGGGTTGATCCCATTACAACCTAGATGATCAGGTAATCTTGAAAACAGCCTCTCTTGGGCTGCTTTTTTCTATTAAAACATGTAGAGGGGGAGGAGGGGAGAACTTGGGGGAGTTGAACTACTAAAATATCCGTAATATTTTCCGGGTCTCATTATTAACTAAATTTTGCCCTTCAAAATCTCACCCTGTTTTGGTTGGGGTTAGGAGATTTGAGTTAATTGAAGTGCAAAAAAATCAACTAATAATTAATTATGAAGGAATGGTGATAAACCTGAATTAAAATGATAAATAAGTGGGCTACCATTAATTAATTCAAGGCAGTAGCAGCAACCAGGTATATTGATACCCAATTGTCTCACTTGCTCATAAATGAATCAGCAACTGTGATCCAAGCCAACACAGATCAGAAGTGTCCAATTCTGTTTTTGTTGACCGTTGACGTATGGGCTTGTGCTTTAGTTTTTACTTTTTAGGTAGAGATAAATGAGCGAAGAGAACTAAGAAGTGGTGTGGCGTTGGTTTAGGGAGAGGCGTCATGCTTCCTGCATTTGACATTTGAAGAAGGTGGAATCTTTGGGTGTGAGTGGCTTTGCGTCAACTGTTCATTTTTTAGGTTTGTATTGCCGAGAAACCGAAACGAGAATCTTTGCATCGCCATGAAGTTTCGCCACAAAATGTTTTTATAGGAGACTGCCTCCTTGTTAGCTTTGCTTCGTATACAACAAACACATATCCAATAAGATCGAATATTCATTTTGAAGTTGGAAACTGAGTGCCTGATTAATGATGGGTTTTGGGTTCTCGAGACTTACTTTTGCTCTTCTTGCCGCGATTCTCTTCTTTCATGGCTTCTGTAATTCACAAGAAGGTATCTCTCTCTCTCTCTCTCTCTCTCTCTCTCTCTCTCTCTCTCGTATAAAGCAGTCTTAATCACACTGAGAATTTCTTGTTCTTTTAAGAAAAATCGACTAACGCTGTGTGCATTTGATAAACTTCACGACCAGACCCATATTACAGATTTGTTCAGCACGCAACTTCAGCTCCTACCGTATCATACTACGACTACATAATTATCGGAGGAGGAACTTCCGGCTGTCCTCTGGCCGCCACTCTGTCCCGGAATGCTAGTGTCTTGTTAATTGAGAGAGGAGGCTCTCCTTACGGGAACCAAAACATAAGCAATTTAGCTTCCTTTGCCAACACACTCTCCGACTACTCTCCCACGTCGCCGGCACATCATTTTGTCTCCGAGGACGGTGTCCGTAACGCCCGTGCCCGTGTCTTGGGCGGAGGAAGCTGCTTGAATGCCGGGTTCTACACGCGGGCCGACACCGAGTACGTGAAGGAAGCAGGTTGGGATGACAAACTTGTCAACCAGTCCTACCGTTGGGTCGAGAAGGTGGTCGCGAATGAGCCGCCGATGTTGCAGTGGCAATCGGCGGTTAGAGATGGACTGCTTGAAGCGGGCATCACACCTTATAATGGGTTTACATACGATCACATCTACGGCACCAAGGTAGGTGGAACCATCTTCGATGGCCGTGGCCATCGGCACACTGCCGCCGATTTGCTCAAGCACGCCGACCCCAGAAGGCTCACCGTTCTTCTACGTGGCACCGTGCACAAGATCACGTTTAGAATCAAAGGCAAGAATCTGTTTACGTAATTTGCTTGCATGAATGTCCATCAGTCCATGAATGCAATCATGTATGCTTAAGTTACTGTATATGAAAATCATCAAAATGCTGATTAATTATAAGGTTGTTCCAGTCGATTTGTTATAAGAACGCCGGCCGGATTGTTAATTACAGTCACCATAATAACTTTTCAGGGAAAGCAAGACCAACTGCCCATGGCGTGATCTTCAGAGATGAATCAGGAGTCAAGCACAGAGCATACCTGAACAAGGGATCAAAGAATGAGATCGTGCTATCAGCTGGAGCTCTAGGAAGCCCACAGTTGTTGATGTTGAGTGGGGTAGGACCAGCTGAGCATCTTACCTTCCATAAGATCAGGGTGGTGGTTGATCGGCCCATGGTTGGCCAAGGAATGTCAGACAATCCCATGAATGCCATCTACGTCCCCTCCCCCAGCCCTGTTGAGGTCTCCCTCATACAGGTCGTCGGCATTACCCGTTTTGGAACCTACATTGAAGCGGCCAGTGGTGCCAACTTCGCTGCTCAGGGCTCCGCCATTCCAAGGAACTTTGGAATGTTTTCTCCTCAGGTTCTTAATTTAATCAAGCAAATCTCATCTCATCTCTCTCTCTCTCTCTCTCTCTCTCTCTCTCTCTCTCTCTCTCTCTGAATAATTAAGGTAACTAAATCAAATTGGGGTTCTTTTTATGGAAGCAGATTGGGCAGCTAGCGACAGTGCCCCCCAAGCAGAGGACTCCGGAAGCCATAGCTAAGGCAGTGGAAGCCATGAATGCACTTTCAGATGAAGCTTTCAGAGGTGGATTCCTACTTGAGAAAATAATGGGTCCTATCTCAACTGGTCATCTTGAGCTCAGAAGCAGGAACCCAGAACACAACCCGTCGGTTACCTTCAACTACTTCAAGCACCCCACGGACCTGAAGAGGTGCGTTGATGGCATAAATACAATCAGGAAGGTGATTGAGTCCAGAGCGTTCTCCAGGTTTAGGTACCCATACATCTCCGTGGGAGCCCTTATCAACATGACGGCGAACTTCCCGGTGAACTTGCTGCCGAGGCACGACAACGATTCTACGTCCATGGAGCAGTTTTGCAAGGATACTGTGATGACCATATGGCATTATCATGGGGGCTGCCAGGTTGGTAGGGTGGTCGACCATGACTACAGGGTCCTGGGTGTGGACGCACTCAGAGTCATTGATGGGTCGACCTTCAATTACTCTCCTGGTACCAATCCTCAGGCCACTGTTATGATGCTTGGAAGGTATTCATCTTCATGGACAGCACTACTTGTGATCTCTGTGACTATACTATATTGATTGCTGATCACTAAATTTAATTTGGTAATATGCAGATACATGGGTGTGAGAATGCTAAGGGAGAGGCTGACTATGGAAGAATCCAGTTGAAACTGAAAAAGATGATCGGTCAGAGACTCAGAGCTAGTGCAATTGTTTAGGAAAGATGAAGCTGTGGTCGTGTCAGGAATAGCTACTGATTTACTACTTGGATCGAATTAAGTAATTTTGATGTAATTGGGTGTAATAGAATCATCCTATTTTAAGAGTGAAGCAAGATCAGCTTTTATTCTTTGTTTCTTTTTGGGTCATATATTATATTTGGAAGAAGAGCTAAACAAAACAAGGAGTCCGACTCCAATTGCCATATTTATGATCGATGTTATCTTCGACCCTTAGCAAGAACTCACATCCTCAGAAAAATTTCTGCCAGACAAATAACAATTTGTCCTTCCCCATTTCAAAATTTAAGTCGTTTTGGTGCAGAGGATGTGAGTACTGGCCTTAGCAATCCAATTTGCAGCCTCATTTTGCTTCTCTATATCACTGACAAAATATAAATTTCATCGAATCGAATCGCATATTCAAATTATATCAGTTCGCATAGACGGATACCATGGCAAGTTGGCAACACTACCAACAACGTGGGACCTGTTTTCAATGCAGAATTAATTGTTACTTGTTAGGCATGTATTAATAGGTAGGGGTGTCAATTGGACTGGATTTGGTCCAATCCGATCCAGTATGAATCCATATATACATACGAGGTCCAATCTAATCTAATGAATATTTTGGACCATTTTTGACCATTTTGGATTGGTCTAATTCAATGTTTGGACCATCTAATCTGTTCAAATTTATTTTAATTTAGATTAATTCTAACTCAAACCTGGTCCATTGACATATTCTATTCTCTATCAACAGATCAGTTATTGGCTCAGTCCAACCCAATCCAATTTAAATTTATTATGGGTGGACCAGGTCCAATCCAACCCAATAAATACTTTGAACCATTAAGTCTGGACTGGTCTAATCCAATGTCTTGTTGGTCCATCCAATCTGTCCAAATTGATTTTGATTTGGACAGGGTCCAATCTAAAATTGGTCCATTTATACCCCTATTAATAGGAACTTGGACGAGAGATTGGATCCTATGAGCACATCCTTGTGAATACACACGGAGTAAGTACTTGATAAAGATTTTGTCAGCTGTCTTAAAATTTATGAAGTGCTTACTCAATGTGCATTCTGAGAATGCCTCCCTCCCTTTTCTTTTCTTTTCAGTGCTGCAGATGCTACTGATGTGTGGGTTGGAAGTACTGTTTTCTTCTGAGAAAAATGTGTCTTTTTTTTGTTTAGAATCGTTGCTGTCAGGTAGGACGTTTCTTGGAGCAACAACAACTTTTTCTGTTTGGTACCAATGCTCCAGGAAACGTTTTCAGTACTAGTACCCATTATCTAGTGCCACCTCACATCCCTATTGGCAGCAATGAGCTGCAGCACCGTTTTTATGAAAAAACGGTTCCAAACAACTGACCGTTTCCTAAAACACCGTTTTTTTTCCGATGTGGCGCCGTTTTCTAAAGCAACGGCAACAATGCCAAACAGACACTAAGGTTTCAATGATTATAAGCAAAGGAAAACGAATAATCTTAGCTTATATTCTTCACATAAAAGATGATCTAGCTGGAGAAGCTTCTTCATGTATTTTTTTTATCTGCTTTTGGGCATACTCTGAGTTAAATAATAAATGAACTTATTGTTTTTCTTCGAAAGAAAAGGAAAAGGAAATAATTGGATTCATACCTGTTCTTTTTTTTTAACAAATAATGAACAGTAGTCTTCTTCTCTCATTCTAAACCCTTTCTATTTTCCTCAATTTTATTAATAATATATAATATTTGGATAACTTTTATTTTAATTAATTTATATTGTTCAATATCCATTTGCAATCCAAATTTAATTCAAATCCAATGTATAAGATAAGATTTTAATTTCAATATAAATGAATCAAATTTAAATTTACCTATATAATAATATGTTGCACCATGCACATAAACAAGTTAAGTGTTATATCAATGTCTATCTCTCTCTCTCAGCCTAGTGACACTTAAGTTTATTTATTTATTTTTAAATAAAAATGTAAAGAAACATAATAAAGTCCATCTTCTCTCTCTGTTAGAAACCTCTTTCTTGGATACAATCTTCTGTAACCTCTAAATAAATTTCTATTAAATGAAGGTTCGAAGTATACATATATCTTAGCAATAATATCTGCATTATTAGTATTTCATTCATGTGTTAACAGGAATGTACGTAGATAATATCTGTATTTTTCTAATAGATACATATAAAATAATAATATTTAAATAAGAAAAAATATCTAACGGTGGAATGATATAACACTGGAAAGGATTTGCGCAATCAAAACCCCCGTGAATTTTGATGAAAATCCACCTGATTGATTACCACTTTTATAATGCTGATTAATTGGTTATAAGTTATTTTGGTATCATATCTTTATAACATTATAGTATATGTTTGGCATCGATGCTGCAGTTGCAGCACCATTTTATTTGCTGATGTGTGGTTGAAAGCATCGTTTTCTGCCTTTATTTTTGTTTGGAATCATTGCTGCTAGATAGAACGTTTCCTGGAGTAACAACAACTTTTTCTGTTTGGCTCGGAGTACTGTTTTTATGGCTTGGAGCACTGTTTTTTATGGAAAAACGGTTCCAAACAAATGCCTGTTTCCTGGAGCACCGTTTTTTTCGATGTGGCGCTGATGTGACACCGTTGCTCCAGGAAACAACAATAATGCCAAACAGCCGCATAGTCAAACCCATTAATTAAATATGCATTACTAGGGTTGCAACATGGGCAGGTAGAGCTGACTCAACCCAAGCTTTTGCACCAACTGGGCTTGAATTTGAATTGGGCTTTAGTTTGGAAACTCAGGCTTCAGCTCAACTTGAGTTGGGCTTGGGTTGAGACCTGCATTAGTAGCCCGATCTAGGGGTGTCAATTGGACTGGATTGATTTGGTCCAATCCGATCCAGTTCAATGTGAGTCCTTTATAAATGGACCAGGTCCAATCCAGTCCAATGATTATTTTGGACCAGTCCAATTCAATATCTGTACCATCCAATTTGTTCAAATTTGTTTTGAATTAGATTTGTTTCAACCCAAACCTAGTCCATTGACACCTATATTCTTATCTTATATTAATGGACCGGATTTGGCTTAATCCAACCCAATCCAATATAAACTTATCATGAACGAACCAGGTCCAATCCAATCTAAAAAATAATTTGGACCGAACTGGTCCAATCCAATATGTCTTGTTGTTCCGTCCAATCCATCCAAATTAATTTTGGACTGGATGGAGTCCAATCCAAAACTAGTCCATTGACACCCTTAGCCCGATCAAAGCAACCTTCTATAATATTTATTAGACCTGTTCTGGTGTTCATATGCCTGCCTTTAAGCTTGGCTTTATGTTGTTTTGCGCTCGGCCTTTAGGCCAGACTCATTCAAATTTTGACAAATGTCAAACCCAAACCCGAGCCTGGTTCATGGGTTTTGAGCCAGGCTCATTCAAAATTTGGCAAAAGCCAAACCCAAACCCGGTCCATGAATTATACATAATTTATAAGGTGATACTTAGCTTGCTGGTGAAGTCTTTGGCTAGTGCCTAGTTGTAATGGGCTACCCTGTTCATTATAATGAACAAGATGACTTTCAAACCCGTCCAGGCCAAACCAAACTAGTTCAAATCAAACTTGAGTCATGTTGGGTTTGGCTTGAGTTGGCTTGCCAACTTGGGTTTGATCTTGTGTTGGGTTGGGCTGGGCCTGCATCCGAATTCCTGATCCGTGGGTCAGGCTTGGATTGGCCTTGAACCTTGACCCAACATGCCCAGGTTGCAATCCTAATATTACTACTATATGTAAATATACACATGGAAAATAGACCTGTTCATGGGTCGGGTTGGGCTTTCACTCAGTATTAACAGATTTTTTTAAGGCCCGAGCCCGGTTCAACCATCGGGCCTACAACTTGGGCCCGAACCTGGCCCTCATAAAAAGCCTGAAGCCCGGGCCTGGGCCCGAGCCCAAAATTTAGCCCATGTTGTTGCTACTGTTGAAGCGACTGAATAGAGAGAGAGAGAGAGAGAGAGATAGAGAGAGAGAGAGAGAGAAATTATAAAGAAAAAATAAAAAAATGTATATATTAAATTATAAATCTATATTTCAATAAATATTATATTATTTATATATTTTATATAATATATAAAATACATATTATGTATTTTATAAAATATATAATGCTGAGTGGGGACGGGCCGGGCTCGGGCCGAGCTTTTTTGACAAATCCCGAGCCCAGCCCGTAACACAGTCGGGCTTACTGTATTAGGCCCGCGGGCCTAATTACATGACCAAGCCCGACCGGGGTGTGGGCCGGGCCGGGCCGGGCCATCGGGCTTCCCGGCCCATGAACAGGTCTAATGGAAAATATACAATCCGTATATATAGGGACAGTAGCACATTTTCGGACGTACATGGGCCCATTAAGTTGACAATCCTCATTTGGGTCCTATCCATTTGTCTTCATAAGGGAGCATATTAAATGGGCCAGCCCAGAATCACAAGCCCAATATCATACTCGACCCAAGACGAGTCGGACATTGAAGTCCATTTCTGCCGGGCCCGGGCCGTTACAATCAACGTCCAACACGCTCCCTACTGCACATCCCAAACGTTCATCGGCAACATCTCCCCAGATGTTCCCGATTCACGGTTGATATGTACTATGGGGCGCAGGTGGGGTGCGATTAAGGGAAGCCAATCCGACTTCTCGAAAACAAGCCATCGATCAGACTGTGATACCAATCAAACAATCAAAGAAATATCTAGATTCGTTTCAAATGGTAGTCCGATTGTAATATATCATCAATCATCATCTAGGTGATGTTAGATATTCTGGGGAACCGTGTTTGCATAGAAGATTAAGAAACAGAATCACCCAAGGAATTTTGGATGCGTAACACTGTATCATTCTGTTTTGTTGTTGCCCGAACAACAAACAATGCATCTCCGTTCCCCGCTTTCGATGCTTGAGTTTTGTTCTTCTTTTCCTTCCATTTTCTTTCTCAAAACGTATCAAAATCTCCATTTGTGATCAATTTGTCGTAATAAATTGTTCAATTTTATTTGAATTATGCATTAGGTTCATTTAAGAATCAGAGGAAGAGCAACGAGGAAGGGAGAAAGAGAGAGGTACTAGAGGAAGAGGACAGACAATTTTTCTGGCAATGGCAACGGATCAGGAGTTACCAGAGGGAACAGTGCAGAACATCTTGGACCAAGAGAGTCTTAAATGGGTCTTCGTTGGAGGGAAAGGTGGTGTGGGCAAGACGACCTGTAGTTCGATCCTCTCTATCCTTCTTTCTAGGGTTCGATCCTCTGTCTTGATCATCTCTACCGACCCGGCTCATAACCTCAGCGATGCGTTTCAGCAGAGATTCACCAAAACTCCCACCTTGGTCAATGGATTCACCAATCTCTACGCCATGGTATCTCTTCAAACCAAAGTTCTCTTCTTTTCTTATTGCTTTTCTGAATTCAAGCTCTCTAGCTTTTACTTTTATTGATTTCATTCAAAATTTGGATATTTGATGTAATTGAGAAGAGTCCCCATTCGTGGTATCTCCTTTTTTTTATTTCCTTTTGTTGCATTTTCATTGCTGGTTATGTCATGCCGGTTGTGCTATTGTTTGGTTTTCTGCGAATGTGATTATAAATTTATACTTTCCATCAAGTATGTTTAGGCCCATGTCGTGCTTTATTTTTCCATATTTTCTATTGTTTTCCAACAGAGAAGAATGAATTCTTTTTGCTTTTAAAATCTCAAAGAACGTCTATCTATTTGGCTATATATTTTCTCGGAAGAGAGAGTAGAACGTTTCCCTTATGCATCTTCTAAGTTATTTTTAACTTCTCTTGGAAAGTTGACCTCCTCAGTGTTTTGAAGCATCTTTTTCATATTATATTGAACCAGAATATTGATTTATTCTTGGCAGGAGGTGGATCCCACCGTAGAGAATGAGGACTTGCCCAATGTGGAAGAGATGGATAGCTTTATCTCCGACTTAACAAATGCAATTCCTGGAATTGATGAGGCTATGAGCTTTTCTGAAATGCTGAAGTAAGTTTTCCTTGTTCCTTTTTATGCCCAAGTCCATTGACCTATATTCCTTCTTATTTGAGATTTTGAGGCTATTTTCTTAGGCAACTGATTGGAAAACTTATTGAGAATAGGAAAGACCTTTACTTGATTTTTGTTGACTTAGCAAATGCATACAAAAGGATTCCTAGAAAGTTAGTATGGTGGATTCTGAGTATAAAAAGAGTTTTTTTTCCCTACATAAACTCTGAGTTGGGGCAAGACATTAAATTGAGTGTGCTTTTTTTCTATGGCTGAAGGAGAGAGACAACAACTCCAATTTCTTTCATAGTTATGCTTCTGGGCGAAGGAGGAAAAACTTTATCTCAAAATTGAATGTTGGGCAGATAGAAGTAGAAGATCAAAAGGAAATTGCTGATGTTATAGTGAACATTTTCAAGGAGTTGTACTCGAAGAAGGAGCACAATAGGGCTGTCTTGAATCACTGGGATGGCCCTAAACTAACAGAGGAAAAGAAGTTTTGGTTAGAGAGGGCTTTTGATGAGGAAGAAGTGAAGAAAGTAGTATTAATCCGGAAGGTGATAAAGCCCCTGGGCCAGATGGATTCCCAATTTTCTTCTATCAGATTTTCTGGGATCCTTAAAATCAGACCTTCTAGAGGTGTTTTCAGACTTCTATCAGTCAGCAGTTATGAATAAAGGAAACAACTCCACCTTTATTACTATAGTTCCTAAGAAAGAGGGCACTTTGGAAGTAAGGGACTTCAGACCAATTAGCTTGCTGGGGAGTTTATATAAAATAATAGCCAAAGTCCTGGCAACTAGGTTGAAGGAGGTGACTTGGGAGTTGGTTTCAAACAACCAACACGCATTTGTGTAAGGGAGGCAGATTATTGACAGTGTTTTAGTGGCTAATGAATGTGTAAAAGACTTCAATCAAAGAGGAAAATCAGGGATTTTATTGAATCTGGACCTGGAGAAGGCATTTGACAAAGTGAACCGGGAATGCTTATTGGAAATTCTGCACCTGAGAGGATTTGGGAGTAAGTGGGTCAGCTGGATAAAGGGCTTCATCAATTCTGCCCGGTTTTCAGTACTGATAAATGGAGAACCAGCTGGTTACTTCAAAGCTAGTAGAGGCTTAAGACAAGGCTGTCCTCTCTCCCCTTTACTTTTCACATTGGTAGTTGACATCTTCAGCTTTTTGATAGAGAAGGCGGAAGTTTTGAACCTTATAAAAGGCTTTGAAATTGGAAGGGAAAGACTTCAAGTGTCTCACCTAATGTATGCAGATGACATAATTTTGTTCTTGGAAGCTGAAAAGGAAAACATCTTTAATCTTAAACAAGTTTTAAAATGCTTTGAGCTGGTGACTGGGCTCCAAGTCAACTACTCAAAGAGAAGCATAGTAGGTTTAAATGTGGAAGATTCCCTCCTAGACAGGTTTAAAGAGCTGTTGGGGTGTAAAGTGGAAAGCCTTCCCATATCCTACATGGGAATGCCTCTAGATGGGAACCCGAAGAACCAGAATTTTTGGGACCCGATTGTGGGGAAATGTGAGACAAGATTAGCAACCTGGAAGAAGAACTATCTTTCTAAGGGTGGTAGACTTACGTTAATCAAGGCCTCTCTATCCAATTTGCCACCTTACTTCCTTTCGGTCTTTCAAGCCCCCCAGAAAATAATAAACAAATTGGAGAAACTACAGTGTGACTTCTTATGGGATGGAGGAAGAGACAAAAGGAAACAAAGCCACTTAGTTTGCTGGAGATGTATCTAAGCCAAAGAAGGCTGGTGGATTGGGTATAGGTCACATCAAGTAAAGGAATGTTGCCCTACTTGGAAAATGGTTATGGAGATATCCCCTTGAGCCTGAAACAACATGGACATCAATTATCAACAACAAGTATGGGAGGGATGCCAACGGTTGGGATAGCAAGGTTCACTTGACCCGAGTAAAAGCAACAAATCCTTGGAAAGGTATTTCCTTTACCTACTCTCTTTTCATTGCTTTTGTTAGATATCAGGTGGGAAATGGGAATAAAATTAAGTTATGGACTGATCTCTGGTGGGGAGAGTCTCCCCTTGCACTCTCTTACCCCAGAATTTTTTGCCTCTCCCAATCCCAAGATGCCCCAGTTTCCAACTGCCTAAGCTACTCTCCCTTAGGAAACAATTGGAACCTGAATCTAAGAAGACCACTGAGAAAGGCAGAACCTACAGGAATAATAAATCTTGTAAACTCTCTCAGTGAAGCCTACATCTCCCCTTCAACCCCCAACCTTTGGATTTGGAAACCCAACCCAATTGGCAAGTTCACTACCAACTCCTACTTCAAGGTTCTAGTTTCAGATGGCCAAGACACCACCTTCCCAGCCAAGAAGGTCTGGAATACTCATATACCTCCTAGAGTTTCCCTCTTCATTTGGGAGGCCTGCCTAAGGAAACTAAATACCTGTGATATGTTACAAAAGAAGCTCAGAGGCAGATGCATCTCCCCACATGTCTGCCCCCTCTGTCTCAACAATGGCGAGACAGCGGAGCACCTTTTCCTTCACTGCCCATTAACAAGGAAAATCCGGTGTTCCTTTCTCAGTCTAGTGGGACTCAACTGGGTATTCCCAAACCAAGTCACAGATCTTCTGCGACAATGGCACTGCAAAGGCCTTGGAAGTAGGGGCAAAATTTATTGGAGCATGGTGACCCACTCAGTGTTATGGGGAGTCTGGGAAGAAAGAAACAATAGAACCTTTGAAAACAAAGCCAGGAATACTGAGGATCTAATCTCTCACATTACATACCTTTGCAACAGCTGGGCCCTAAACTCTGAAGTCTTCAAAGGCACTACATTAAATGACCTTCAGAGAAACCTGGAAGAAGTCCTCTACACTTCCCCTGGAGGAGAACCAGTTAACTCTAAGCTTTGATGGCAGTGCTCAAGGTTCCACAGGTCAAGCAGGAGTTGGAGGAATAATCTGTGGGAATGGGGAAACATCCTTTGGGTTTTCAGTGGTCCGATTGGGAGAGCTGATGCCACCAAGGCAGAGATCTTAACTGCCCTCACAGGTCTTTGTTTCGTCAAAATGTTAGGCCTTTCCTCTTTATCAATCGAGGGCGATTCAGCTAACATAATAAACTGGTTAAGGCAGAGGACTGGAGGCCCTTGGAGGCTTGCTCATCTGCTGGATGAAGCCGGAGATATTCTAAATACCCTGAATGCGAAGCTGGTTTGGATTCCTAGGGAATTAAACACCATAGCTGACAGTTTAGCAAAATCTGGTGCCCATAGAGCAAATATGTTTTCTGATGTTTCTCTACCTATGTAATTCTGTTTCTGCCTTTCAAGGCCTTGTACTTTGTTAACTTATCTCAGTTTACCTTTAATATATTCTGTTAACCTTTCTTCAAAAGAAAAGTGTGCTTTTTTTCTAAGGGGAGACAGTAGTAGTTTGTGAAGATGGCAAGATCATTCTGAATTATCAAAAAAAAAAAAAAAAGGTGGATGAGAAGGAAGTGCAAACAAGTAACAAAAAAGGGCTTGCTTTTTTCTAGGGGGTAGATGAGTATTCAATAAAAGTATTTATGGAACTAGAAGAAAGAGAAAGGATTTAGTATTCTGATAGTACTTGTGAGGATGAAGAATGTTTTCCCACTGAATCCTAAATAACCATGGGACAAGCCCTCAAAATCCTTGAGGATGAAGACCCAACACTTTAGATCCATATTTAGGAGGTCCTTGAATGAGAGATTTTGGCTGGAAGGTTTAGAGTGGGCTGGAATACCTAATGATATCAAAGATTGGTTGGAAATAAGTTTTGAGTCAGAGGGAATTAAGGAGGCTATTTTCACTATGGAATATGGATAGGTTTAAACTTTAAAGCACCACGGATGGGTTCACAATGGCATTCTACCAAGACTGCTGGGATATATTGAAAAATGATCTGCAGGAAGTGTTCAATGAGTTTTTTGGGAGAGGTATTATAAACGCATGTATGAACTCAACTTTCATTGCTTTGGTGCCCAAGAAAGATGATACAGCCCATCCTCGTGAGTTCCGGCCAATGAGCTTGGTGACTAGCTTGTAAAAAATAATTTCCAAGGTTCTGTCCTTAAGGATTAGGTCAGTCCTTCCTTTAATCATTTCTCCCAATTAAGGAGATTTTGTACGAATAGGCAAATCACTGACCAAATTCTAATTGGTAATGTATGTGTGAAGGAAATGAAGAGATTAGGTAAGAAAGGAATAGTTTGCAAGTTGGACTTGGAGAAAGCTTATGTATGGTGGATTGGTCCTTCTTGTTGCATAGGGATATGTCTTTATTGGGTAAGTCGCTGTGGAATTTTTTCTGAGAGAAGATAACCGATTTTGTTAATATCAAAAAATGGGAGGGATCTAAATGAGGGGATGTAAAAAACCTTGTCAGCAAAACAAAAACAAAAGATAAAGCCCACTAAATGGCAATGTATGAGCACTATACAAAAAATCCCTTCCCAGCCCAGATTTTGCTAGACTATCAGTCACTTGATTTAATTCTCTAGGAATCCATCTAAAGCTGCACTGTAAACAAGAGGCAAGCTCCCTGATTTCTAACAGCAGATGGGATAGCTTTCACGGGTCTAGAGTCTATCATCCTGAAGCCCAATTTTTAACATTCCTCGAATCTCCTTCCACTGCAATGAAACAGAGCTGATGTGATTTGGCGATTCTGAGGCCTTCCAGGAGGGCCCTAGCCTCTGCTTCAGAAACATCAGCAGCCTAGGAAGGGCCACTATTAGGCCCAAGTCAATTCTCCATTTACTCCTTGAATGAGAATATTCTCACAATCTTGTCTTGGGGTGTTTGGGTAACCCAGGCTCCTCAGGTATTGGGAGGGGGGGGGGTCATTAGGGATGAAGAGGGGGACATAATTGCTTTATACCTGGGCCCTGTGAAGCAAGGTGATGTGGCAAGATCAGAGTTTTTGGCTGCAGTGTTTGGGGTTGAGAAGGCAAAAGAACTGGGTATTAGTAGGCTGATTATTGAGGGAGACTCTATAACTGTGTTTAAGTGGCTGGTTAAAGGGGAGGGGGTGGCATGGCATTTGAGGAATGATTTCAGAAAATACAAATGGTTGTCACAGGACATGTTAATCTGAGTGAAATGGGTGAGGAGGCCTGGTAATAGCTTGGCAGATAGCTTAGCCAAGCAAGGGGTACATAGAACACATATGTTTTGGGCTCAAATGTAGTACTTAACTGGGACAGCTTCTATAGCTGGTTTATTTCACAACTTCTTGTTGTAATCATGCTTTTCTTATAATTAATGAAATCTTTTCTGTTGCTGATAAAAAAAATCTTGTCTTGGGGTGATTTTAAGGAAAGGCTGAGGGTGAAAAGTAGAGGTTGACAGTAGGGCAGGCCAATTCCTTTGTATGTCATTTCGATTGATACCCTCAAAAACTTTACTGTTCACCATCCAGCTGCTAATGTTTGCCAGGATGTGATCTCGAAGAGTCTCCAAGGAGGAGTAGCTCTCCTCAAATAATCTCCTATTTCTTTCCTCCCAGATATTCCACATGACGGGCATGAGTAATTGCTTTCCAGAAGTAGCTTCCTCTCTTGCCTGAAATTGTCTTTAGCCCTTGCCAAGAGTTGATAAGCTCCATAACAGAATTAGGGGGAGTCCAGCTGAGCTTTCCCCTAGCTAAGAAATCGAGAAAGAACTGCCAAAAACTTCTGGCCACAGTACAGTTGATAAAAAAGTGTCTAATAGATTCCCCATCATTATAACACATCAGATAAATAGAAGGAGAAATATAGCAATGTCCTTGAAACTTCTTTTGGAGGTTGTCACAAGCATTCAGCTTTGAGCAAGAGGTAGTGAAGAGGGGGGGTAAGTTGGTGGTTAGGTGCTGAAAGAAGGAAGAGGTAGTGAAGGAGCCATTGTGGGGTTAAAGACCATATAAGCTTGTCCTCAGTGGAGTGAGAGATGAACACTTCTCAGAGTGAAGAGAGTAAGGTGGTGATTTCAAATAGTTTTGAGTCTCTCAGCTCTCTATGAAAATTGAGATTAAAGGAAAGGCGCTCTAGACCTCTTATCAAGGTTGCAGAAATGAGAGCTTGTTTATCACGCACTAGCCTAAAAGAGAGGGGAAGGCTTCACAGAAGGGATTATTTCCCAGCAAAGGTCTGTCCAGGATTTAATAGTGTTTCCTTTTCCTACTTTCAGTCTAATAAGGGGAGAGAAGGAAGCAAAGGAATGAAGAAGTGGTGGTAAGCATTCATGGGTTTGAGGCTAATGGTTGGGATGCTGGTATACATGCTAGGGCTACTTGGTGCCTCTCTTTGGAAGGCTATCCATGCTATTCTTCTGTTGTTCTTGCCTCTTATCAGGTGTGACCTTTGTTCTGGAACTGATATAAATTTTGGGAATAAGTCTGGGTGGGGGACCTTTCTCTAAAAGACAAATTTCACTCTGTGTTTGCCCTCTCAAGATACAAAGATGATCCTGTCTCTACTTTCCTTGTTCCTTCGAGCTCAAGATTTAGCTTTGATTGGGATTTGGGCTTGAGAAGGGGTGTAAGGGATTCAGAGTTAAATGATGTGTTGGAGTTGGTTCGGGTCCTTGAAGGGGTCATTTTGGATCCTTCCAGCTTAGATAGTCATATTTGGACCCTTTCCTCCTCAGGTGTTTTCTCTTGTGCTTCCTTCTTTAAGGCTCTAATCGAACCCCCCCCCCTCTCCGTCCCTAGAGCTTGGATGTATCCTTTCCTTCCTTTCCTGTTAAGTAGGTTTGGTGTAAACCTATTCCTCCAAGGATAGGTGGCTTCTGTTGGGAGGTCTTCCTTGAAAGAATAAATACTTGTTAGCTATTCCAAATTAAAAGACCAAATTGGAGCTTATCCTCACATTGGTGTGTTCTATGTAAGCCTAATGGAGAAACTTGCTTTCACTTACTAATATCCTGTCCCTATGTCAAATCTATTTGGGAGTGGCTTTTGTCTTTGTTTGTGTGTAGGTGGACTCCCCCACCTAATGTTCATAGCCTGTTTACCTCTACTTTCTTTAGGTGGTCTAAGAAAAGAGGAAGAGTGTTGTGGAGATGTGTAAGAGCTGCAGTGAGTTGGACCATTTGGGAAGAAAGAAATTCCAGAATTTTATCAGAAAAGGAAAGAAGCAAAGAGGGAATTATTGAGACCATTCTGATTAGAGTGGTTCACTGGGTGAAGACTTTGGAGCATTTTGTTGACTTCTTTTCAGTTGACATTATGAATAACTGGAAGGAAGTGGCTAATTCATATTGTCATAAGACTGATATAGACCTCTTTGGACTCCACAACATAATGATTTTGCAAGTTAAATGTTGATGGGAGTAGCATAGGTAACCCAGTCCCTTCTGGTATAGGTGGTGTGTTTAAGAATAAGGATGGAAGGGTTATTGGGTTATTCTCAGGCCCAATTGGTGTGGGAGATTCCCTAAGGGCTGAAATTCTGGCTGTTATGGAATGTGCGCAAAGGGCAAAGAATATGAATGTGAGCAAGCTGATTATAGAAGGGGGTTCAAAATTGGTAATAGATTGGTTGAAAAAGGGAGGAAATGGTTTCTGGATATTCAATAGTGAGAGGAAGAAATTCAAGTGGCTGAGAAAAAACATGGAAGTAGAGCTAAGTTGGGTTAAAAAGAATGCTAAGGCTTTTGCTGATGTTCTAGCAAAACAAGGGGTGGGAAGAAATCAAATGTTTCGGGCACGACTGTAATCTGTTCCTGTTTATAATTCTGATGCGGAGAGGTAAGAAAGGTTACCCCCCTTCTGTTGTTTAATTTTCTCCTCGTTTAATGTATTTCTGGTATTGATAAAAAAAAAAGGAGAAAGAGCTTAGAACAGTTTTAGGGGTGTCAAGAATGAGTTGGCCCCATCCCAAGAGCCTCTTATATATTAAAGAAAATAAAAGATATGTACAATTACAAAAGTGCCCTTACAGGGCTGAAAGAAAAAAAGAACAAGAAAAGAGTAATGCACATAGTACAACAGGGACTATACTAATAAAATACATCAAGTCTCTTCACAAATACACCAACAGCCTTTCAGTCTTTCCTTTGACAGGATAAACCCCGGCTCTCCTCATTTTCCAGCTTTACAAAAAATGTATATGGTTAATGAGTTAGATCAATGCTCTTCATACATGGTTATGACTATTGGAAAAATAGGAATTAACAGAAATCTCTCCATTGAATTCTGAAATGATTGTAAGGTAAGCCTCAAAACTCCTTAAGGATCAAGACCCAACACATCAACAGCCTTGGTTTTGATCTTTCTTTTTATGGGATCAACCTTGACTCCCTTCCCTCTGAGGATGCTGGCATTCCTCTCCCTCCATATACTCCAACCCAGTTCAGACAGCAATAGAGCAATAAAATTCATATAATTGATCCCTGACCCTGAGCAGTGAAACCTCTAGCTTTCCAAGAGGAGATTAGCATTGAGACATAGGCATTACCTAATATCATCTAAAGGGGATAGCACATTGAAAGTGTAAGGGCTGTGAATAAACAGGTTTTAAACTGATTTCTCTTTTGACTGACAGGGTCTGCATCTATATTCAATATCTCTCCCCCTTTGATATCAAATGATTGATCATTAGAATTTTTTTCAAAATGGCAGTCCACATAAAGAAGCAGAAATTTGAGGGTTAAAAGTTAAAACCTTAGGCTGGCATGCATGAGAACATGAGTTCAAGTCTGAGGGTGGCCACTTTGTGCCAAAAAAAAAAAAAAGAAGAGAGAGGGGAAAGAATAAGAAAGAAAGAAAAATTTGCTAAAGGTTAGGACTGGATCCAATCTACCCCTCCTAAGACCCCAGATAGCTGGGACCAACATTGGGTAATTAATTTATTATAAAAATATATTTTTATATATTATATTATATATGTATTTATATATATATATAAAATAAATTCAGTATGTATATTTACATTAATTTATCATATATAAAAGTTGAAAAGTAATTAACTTTTTAACTTTTATGTATTTTAAAAAATTAAAGTGGTGTCAGATTAAATCTGAATTCCATCCAAGTCCATTAGGATTCGAATCTTCAAACCCGATCGGATTCGAATGCAATTTTTCAATAATCAGATTAGATTTGGATTTTTCCGAATCCGATCCAAATCCAATTCGATTACAGCCCTAATTCTCATACCTTATGTCTCAACCCTAGCAGCCGAGACTAATTGCTCCATAACTTAGGCAGTATGAGAATGTCAACCTTGTCGGGATAGGCCACCCAAGCCTATCTATTCATTGGTTGAGAACATTTGACTATATATTGACTATGGTGTCTTAGATCATAATCCTAAAAATGTAGTAAAGAGCAATTCACAGAAACTCACAACATGACACATGAAACAAATTGAACTTTTATTCATGATAAAAGTCAACAACTTCTATTGGATCTGAGGGCATACGCTGTCTAACATGTCTCTTCAATCATATTAACATATGATCTTTATGCTGGTTAGCATGCATTCCATTTGCTGATATTAAGGTTTTCATATTGGGATAGTTTGTCTTATAAATCTTGATGTAATCCCTCTTTATTAATAAAATGCTATCATTTATAAAAAGAAAAGATAAAGGTTTTCATATTGTTTTGTTTTTTACAGATTAGTTCAAACAATGGATTACTCTGTTATCGTGTTTGATACAGCTCCAACTGGTCATACACTACGGCTGTTGCAATTCCCCTCAACATTAGAGAAGGGGCTTGCAAAAATGATGTCGTTGAAGAATAAGTTTGGTGGCGTACTGAGTCAGGTAGTTCTTTAAATCTTACAAGGGTATAATTTCAAACTAATGTTTTAGCTAACTGTGAAATACAAGTTTCAAATTTGCTGGTCTTAGTGTATTTCCCTATGTTTTTACTCTTTATTTTTGGTATTACAAAACACACATTACAAGGGGACTCATGGGGTGGGGACAGAGCAGGGTGCATGTAAGGTCCAGTGACCTTACTACAGAAGCGTGGTGTTTCTCTAAGAAGTTGGTCCCTGGTTACTCCATTTCTTGCAAGGGCATCAGCTAAAATCATTGCTGAATGAGGTATCCATCAACAATTAGTTCAATTTGGACACCAAAGATACAACTTCTCTAATCATCTGTTGGAGTACACAAAGACCCTTATTCTTCTCCATCCAGCTGAGCACCACTCTGCAGTTCCCTTCCACACTCAGATTTTACCATCCCAAAGGCTAAGCTATTTCCAAGCCTTGAAGAAGTGCATGAATCTCATCTCTCAAAGAATTTCCAACCCCAATTGATCCTGTGAAGCTCAGGATAATGTCTCCAAGGTGATTTCTAACTGCACCCGTTATTCTCGAGGGCCCCAGGTTGACAAGGCTGCACTCATCACAATTAAATTTTCATCTCTCTATTTCCACAGCTGTTCAAATGGTGGATATCTCTTTATTAACAATAAAGAATTTCATCATTACTGATAAAAATAATTATTTATGGATTTAAGTCAGTCTTGATGCAAGGGTCTGGACCAGCCTTCTCAATGTCCTCAACATCAACTGGGGTTTTCCCAAAACAACTCTGGAAACTCTTGAGAGTTGGCACCTGGGCAGGCTGAGTTGTAAAGGCAAATTGATCCGGCATCTGATCCTGGGAGTGATTTTTTTGACTGTTTTGCAAGATTTTTTTAGAATACTTGCTCCCAAACTGATGAATTATAACTTTATAAGGAATATCATAGCAAAGATCATGTCCTGGAATTTAATACACATATTTTCAGCACTCATCCTTTGTATCTATTTTAGACCCAGGAATCTTTTGAGTTTTTTAGCTTTTTACTGTAAGTAATACTGAAAAAATTAGTGGTTGTACAGATTCTCTCTGTATAGGGGTGGAGTCTCTACCCTCCTCTTATTTTTGATATCAATCATAGTTATCAAGGCGACGCCTAGGCAATGCTTAGGCAACAAGGTGCCCTTGGAGGCTCACCTCACCTAATTGCCAAGAAATTTTGTACATTGTGTTATAAAACTTTTATATTCTTGATTTTTTTAGATTATAATTATAAAATAGACACTATTAAACTAAAATATTCAGTTTGTGTGTTCATATACTAATTTATTTTTATTAGGGTTTAATCACCACAACATTGCTAAATGTTGTATTGAACCCTCTAAGACTTCAAAACCTAAACCAATAAGTAAGAAAGAACATGAAATTTTGTCTAATCAATACTTCTTCTTCCACATTTTCTTTTCTTCTTTTCCTATAACAAAAGTAGGGGTTCAACCCCTATATTTTTTGGATTTTCTTTTCTTTTTTCTTTTTCTTCTCATGAATATGTTGATTTTCTAATACTTTAACATGAAGTTTCTTTTGAAAATTATAGATAATTATTAAGGAAATATCATAATGGAACCTAGGAAACTACCATAGGATATATGTTTTTTACTTAAAAAAAATCCATCGCCTAGGCAACAAGGTGCCCCCTATCACCTAGCCTTGCCTTGGCGCATTGAAAACTATGATATCAATACAGTTAGACTTTACCTTCTTTAAAAAATAGTCTTGATTTAAATTTCTATGTATCTGAATATCATCAAATGACCCATCTGGATGCTTTTAGATTGTTGTGTTTCTTTACCATCTACAGAGATTGATGCCTTGATTAAGACAGATTTCTGAACCTTGGTTTTAAGCACTTGCATTTTGTTACTCAGTAACTGGTTGTCCCTTAATATTCAGTTGGAAACTAGCATTTTTGTATTAGATCATACAGTTCCTCTTGCTTCAACCATATGTTGAAACAAAATGGAGCTGGCTTTCTTCTTACTCATCAATGGTGCAACAATAAGGAGTGCGGTCTAAGGGAGGGCTTGCAGCAATAGTGATAGCTCTCTGCCTTTGTAAAGCTTTTTGGAGAGGGCTCCTATTGTCTTATTTGTTGATATGTATATCCCCTAATGTACATTTTGCTATCCTTTATTAAAATACAGTTACTTTCTTCCCAAAAACAAGGAGTGTGATCTGAGGGAGTTCTTATAAAGACTTCTTGAGAAATCTTGTGAAATGAATCTTTTTTATAGTAAAAACTGTATTCCCATCTGTTGACGTTTTTTTGGTAATCAATAAAAAAGAAAATTTGTTAAAATTAAAAAAAAAGTACATCTGGAAGTGATGAGGTATCACAGGAATACAACACTACAAAGAGAAGCATAAAAGGGGAAAAAACATAACTGCAAGGTGTTCCAAAATCCTTTGAACTCTGGGAGAATCATAATCCAATCTATGATTCGTTTTCCACATAGAAGTGCCATATGTTCCCTTGGTCGAGTTTTCCCATATAAAATTCTTCTATTCCTTTCTATCCAAAGTTCCCAGCAGACTGCAGAAGGAATACAACTCCGAGTGATTTTTTGCCTTGACATTTCCAGCTATCTTAGGCCATTTAGAGAATTTCCTCCATTGAATTGGGAGACCACCACCCGCTTTGAATAGCCTGAAGAAAAAGCCCCAAATGAACTTGGAGAAAAGGCACTGAACCTGCAAATGAAAAAAATCCTCCTCAGCATTCTCACAAGGGTAACATCTGCTAGCTAAGTTGAAACCTCTGTCTTGAAGTGAGGTTGGATTTTCTTTGCTGTTTGTGGAACTGAAAATTTCTTCGTACAATTGTAAGTCCACCTTTAAGCGCATAGACATGCAAACCACCACAGACCCGGTTGAATCCATCCTGAACTGAAACTGAATCGGTTCGGTCCAAATCCAATTACCAATCTTGGTTACAAAGCAGCAATTCAGCACAAGTCATAAAATAGTGTGAGCTCAGAATGGTGGCTGACAGCTGGCCACCCTTGCTGACTCAGCCTAGTTACAGGAAGATTCCAGAAACTTCATGTATATAATTAATTCATTTGCACATAAAAGGGAGGACTCAAGGTTCAAAATTTTGTCATGTATCAGGCTATTGGCCCATATCAGCTGATACGTATTGTATTGGTGGGTCACTGATACGCAAATAGAGGGAGTTTCAGGGGGTAGCCAGGCCTTTTACTGACCCCCCTGAACATGTTTGGAAAAAAACTGGAAAAATATAAAAGCGTGTTATTTTATTTTATTTTGAGAAGATAAGGTAAAAAGTTTATTGATAAAAAAGACAAAGTTACAACTCCTTCCTAGAGCCCCACATCTTGTAAGAGGGCAAATTACAGACTCCAAATAGCCTGAGTACAAAGCAGCTGAAATACATTCTGAGATTTAAACTCAGGAGAGACAGACAACCAGGAAACAAGTTTAGACACAGCAGTCTGAATTAAGTCCTCCAGTCTTCTCACTTTATTGCAGAAAATCCTATTGTTTCTTTCAGTCCATAAGGTAACCAAAACAGCCACAGGGATGGTTCTCCAGATCAGATTACCCTTCCCCTTCAGGCCAGGTAGTTTCCAGCAGCATAAAAGATCTTTGATAGAGCCAGGCATGATCCATAGTCCCCAGCCGCCTTGAGAAAGTGCTCCCAAACTCTTACCGAGGTCAAGCAGTGAATGCCCAGGTGATCAGCTGTCTCTGGCAAGAGCCCACATAAGCCACAATTTAGATCTGAAACCTGGATCCCTCTCCTAACCAAATCAGTCCTCGACAAGCACTTATTAAGGGTCATCACCCAAACCAGAAAATTTTGTTTAGATGGGCTGACAGTGTTCCACACCTGCTTACTTGGGAAATCAGAAGTGTTTGATCTACTCAGTTTTAAACCCAAGGATTTAACAGTAAAAACTCCATCTCCACCTCCATTCATCATCCAGGTTAACCGAAATAGCTTGCCTCTGTAACAGTTGCAGATGATCTAACAGCTGATCCATCTCTCATAAAAAAGGTTTCATCTGAAGAGGGGGCACCAAGAGATTGATTCCCCAACCACCTCATAAGAATCAGCAACTGAGACTTCAGGGCTGTGGGCACATTGAAAAAGTAGAGGATAAGCTTCAGCCAGGGGAATGTCTAAACACCAGGAGTCCTTCCAAAACAACCTATCTCCCTTACCAATCTTGAGAGCTAGGCCTTCAGAGAAAACCGGAAAGTATTTCATAATTCCTTTCCAAAGAGAGCACCCCCAGCTCTAAAAAATATCCAGGGATTTCCAATTACCCCAGTCCACCCCATATTTAGATGCAATTAAGGTCCTCCACCAGGCAGTCCTCTCCACACCAAACCTCCAAAGCCATTTGCTGAGAAGAGAAGAATTAAAAACCTTCAATTTCCTTATTCCCAAATCTCCATCCTCCATAGGGAGGCAAACCTGGTCCCACTTAACAAGGTGGGGTTTTCTTTCTTCCTCCCAGCCTCTCCACAGAAAATTCCTCTGAAGGGACTCCAACTTCCTTTCTATTTTAGAAGGGATGGGAAAGAGAGATAAGAAATAAAAGCATGTTAATAAAAAGTCCAATATGCCCAATTCAGTGTATCGGACTGTATCGATACTTTGAACATTGGGGGTTCTCTTGTTCTCTCTCTCAGATTCTCTCTCATAGACTCTCACTCTTGTGACTTTCTCTCTCTCCTTCCCCTCCAAAGGAAATCAGGGGAATTATGATGGCCTGATCCCTCTCTAGAGGGTATGTAATGTAGCCCCTCCGGGGGTCTGGCCCCTTCCATCTTCCCAAATCAACTTCGGCTATCGTTCTTCAGATCTTTGGAGCTGACCGTCAATTCCAAGTCCATGGGCAAAGGCAAACACCACTAATTCCCACCTCTGCATGAAATCAGCAGAACACTTCATGCTTGGAGTTATTCTTGATCTCCCA